GGGGGGGGGGGGGGGGGGGGGGACGACGATTGTCTGTTATTTTATTTGTTATTTTATTTTAGATGAAAAAGTGGTGGCTGTTTTTGAGTGTTTGTTTGTGTTTCCCGTTGTACAAGACGTGGCAGTCATTGCCTTTTGTTTCCTTTGTTCTTCTTTTATTTCTGCAAAAACGTATTGTTTTGCTCATATAAAGGAAATGCGTTTTTCGCGTGTGACATCAGAGAGGCGCAAGCTGCTGCTGGAGCCCCCCAAAGCAATACTTCTGAAGATCGGCATAGACTTGGCGGTAAGCATTTTGTTGTGTATTGCTTTTGCTTATTGCCAATTGTATTAAAGTCATTTTGGTTTTTCGCCGCTTTTCTCCTCCTTAGCCCTTTTGGATTTACGGTTTGTTGCCTTTTTGGTTATCCTCCCTTTAGTTGTGTGTTTGCTCACCCAGGGTTGTTCTGTCTTTCGTATTCTCTTTTCTCCTTTTCCTGGCAGTTTTTAAGCTTTTTCTTCCTTTTTAATTGTTATTTGGGTCTAGCACGAATGCCAATGCAGAAGATATGTCGTGTAATCTCGTACGTGTATCTATTCCTCGCATCTCTTTGTGTTTGCAGCTGCAGACCTGCGGTCAGCCTCTCAACGCTTCAGCAGTTGTTCTTGTTAAAAGCGCAGAAGGTGGCAAGGGCTTACTTTGTTGTTGCCTTGCTCCCCAAACCCTAAGCCCGTAGCTTTAAAATGTAACCCCAAATCCTAGGCAATCGATCGTACAGACGCCAAACCCTAAAAGGGGCCCATAAACGTAGTGCCTGGAACCTCACGGCCGCTCAATCCTACTCTCCCTCAACCCTGCGGAGTTTAGGGTTTAGAGACGGGAGTTTAGAGCTTAAGACTTAGGGTTGAGGGTGTGCGGCCTCACGGCGGCGCTGTTCCCTTTCTTAGTTGAACTTCGAGCAGAGTTTGTTTGCACGCGTTTTGCTGTGGGGTTTGAGGCTGTGGGGTATTTAGAGGCCATTAAACTGCAACTGCCGATCTGTACAGACACCTATTTTCTTTCTGCTGCTCATGTGAGCGATAATAAGGATAGCAGCAGCCATAAATGCTCCTACTATTGTATAGTCGTCAATATTGTGTTACTACATATTAATGGTCTTAGTCTTGCATCCATTACAATTAATTTTATTCTCTTTTTAATACATGTAATTATGGTGAATTCCTGGCAGCAGGCATTGGAGCCCCGGTTTCTTGCAACAGTGCATTGAAACTGCTGTGTATTTAGGTGGTAAATCCGTTGCACAGAAAGTTTTTCCTCCTCCTTACCAATACATTAAGGGTTTATAGCCAGAGGTTTGTGGTTTAGGGTCCAGGGTTTAGGGTTTAGCATATGCATGCAAGGGTCGGACGATAGGGCTTACGTAGGGACCACCCTCTAGAGTAGCGGAGTGAGACGAGGGGGAATACTTCACGGGAGTGGAATGGCGTCCACTGAGCATACTTAGGGTTTACGGTTTAGCACCTATTCAACACAAGGGTCTCGGTGAACAACTACTAGAGGGGCGCTGCCGACAGTTCTCTTTGATATATACGTTTTTGAATCTGTGCCCCGGTGAGTTACTTGTTGTTCAGTTGCAGTACTTCCCTATTAGAGGTAATCTACCTACTAGTGTTTATTTTCTGTTCCCTTTTTCTGCTATAGCAGCACTAGCAATGGGTTGAGGACGTTCCATCTATTGTGGCATGCAGTCGTCGACTTGCTCAGCTTAGAACCAAAGAACTATACGCATAAACCCTCTTTGAGTGATTTAAAATTTCTTATTAAATTTTAACACTTCATGGAACGAATTTTGTAGTGGTAACTAGCTGGGTTTCCTGCAGCATTCGCCCACTGCGTGAGCAGCCTGCTGCTCGAGAGGTTCGGGGGGTTGGAACTCTTCGCTGTTTTTACTAAAGAAGCATTCAAACGAATGCACAAATCACTTAACTGCAGAAAAACAAATGTATTAGAAAATTATTTTGACAAGACGGCATAAAGGAGGCGAGAATTTCGACTCCCTTACCTATCGCACGCTTCTCAGGCACAGCTGCTGTCGCTACTGCTGCAGCAGCTGCTGCTGCCTGTCTCCTTTCGCAGCTAAATTTATCATTTACTTTCCAATTTTTACTTTTCATTTGGTTTTGTTTTGCATTTAAATGTACAACGGTGCGTAGGACACCCCCTTCAGAAACGCAACAACGCCGATACACATGCGGCCTCGCCTGTCGGCGAGAGGGGGGTCACCTCCCACGACTCCCAGGTAACATATAATCGAAATGAAGAACACACCACAATCCTTTTGATTATTTCATGTTGTATTATCATCTAACTTCGTGCGTTTATCTGCTTCTGTGATGCTGCACTATTCTGTTGACGCGCTTGGCTGTGGGGTTCCCTCCCCCGCCTGTGCAATAACAGCCGCTAATATACAATTCCATTCAGTAGTAGTCTCATGCTTGTAGCTAGGACATTGTAACAACGTACCTCAAACCACGTGTATATGCCTGTGTTCCACCTTGTGTTTGGTTCGTTGTATGTGTTCTTTTGCAGGTATTGAGGAAGGTGTTAATATCCGCTTCGTGTCTGCTGAAAAGGAGCACAGCGCACCTTTGAGTTCGGGGGATGAGCAGTAGAAACAGCAACAGCTACAGCAACAGTAACAGTATCAACAGGAGAGGCAGCAGCAGCAGTGGCTTCTATACTTTGTGAACTCTGTGTGCCGATATCATCCTGCTTAACTTTTTTGTGCAGCACAGCAAACTAGAAAAGACCTGGACGGGTGTACTGTTTTTCTCTTCTTCCCCCCCCCCCTCCCCCACAATCTGCTACACTAATCTTCTATCTGTCTCCTTTTGCGTGCTGATCAGCAGCGTCCACAATGGGGGGGACTATAGCGGTTTTCGCTGTCCGCATTCGGCTTCAGCCGGTTCTGCTGTGCGCAATGTTATCTCTTGTGTCGTTTCTAAACTATCTCCTTTTGGCATCTGCTGTTGCTGCGGCGACAGACGCAGCAGGTACACGGGCAGCTAGTACAGGGGCAGCAGGTGGAGTGGCAGCAGGTAAAGGAGCAGCAGGTGCAGCAGCCGAAGGTGTCTCTCCTCGCAGCAGCGCTTGGGATAACAACGCGTTGATGCGACCCCGCCGCTTAGCGCCCCAAGAATGTAAAACTTATGTGTACACCGACAGCGAGCAGGAGCCTGCAGAGATGTCCGACCGCAGCAGTTGCCCCACAGGAGGTGGAAAGAGAGCGTTTCTGCTGGATACGTCTCCCGAGGGAGCGGGATCACCTGCGCTGCTGGAGGTGTCGCCTGTGCAGGCACAGCAGTATGCATGCCGCGCCAGCCGGCCCTGCAGTGTCGTTGTCCCTGGCTTTGGCTTGCAAGCAGAAGAGTCCATTGCGGTGCTAAAAGGGAAGCAAGAGTGCCCCCCTTCTTCTCTGCGCAGCGCGCAGATTATAACTAGCAACAGGCACATTAGCAGCTCTGCAGCAGCAACATTTAACTTTCAAATCCGCCCTCAAAGAACCATTACCGAACTCCCCGTGTTTGAGCTAGGCCCCGTACAAGGAGACACCTTTACGCTCTGCTATTCCCCCTTCTTGGCTACCCGAGGAGAGATACCTGCAGCGAGAGATTACCACTATAGAGCGGGAGTCGTCTGTGAGTCCGGCACACACATTTCTTGCTTTTCCTCGTTCCCTTTTTCCGGGATGTATATCTTCTTGGGCATACGTTGCAAATGGTCTAAATGTGTCAAACAAACCTTATTGAGTTTAATTCTGCATGGATACCGACAGAATTGAGCTCGCGCATATTGAAGCCGGCTACGAGATTCGCGTGCGTCCACGCATGGGGCAAGTCTCCCTTGGGGCAGTGCCAGCGCATGCGTGGTGTATGTGTATGTGTATGTGTATGTGTATGTGTATGTGTATGTGTATGTGTATGTGTATGTGTATGTGTATGTGTGTGTGTATGTGTATGTGTATGTGTATGTGTATGTGTATGTGTATGTGTATGTGTATGTGTATGTGTATGTGATTAGCGATTCGAGACGAGATGATGAATTGCGACTTTGAGGAGGGCATGTGCGGTTTGATGTCATTTGTGGTGGATCCCCGTCTGAGTTTGGAGTGGCGACGGCATTCGGGCGCAACTGAGACAGCCGGGACGGGCCCTTCTTTCGACCACACTTATGGGAGGAGGCAAAGGAGACGTGGCCATTACTTGTATATGGATTCTCCCGGCTATATGCTGGGTGAAAGCGCAGCTCTGCTTGCTGCAGCACAGATATACCCAAAGGGGTTGTACTGCCTGCGCCTGTGGTATCACATGTACGGCGAAGACGTAAACTCGCTGAGGGTGTATATGCGTTATCTGGAGGGAGATGCAGAGACGCTGGGAGACTGGGGCAAGCCGTACCTCTTGCGAGTTGGAGATCACGGCGACGACTGGCTTGAGGCAGGTTTTGAGTTCACTTCTGATGGACATACAGCGCAGCAGCTGGTGATAGAAGCGCTCGCAGGGTTCGGTGAAAAGGGAGATATTGCAATTGACGACCTCCGTATTGTCTCTGGGAAGTGCCCCGAGCAAATCGCCCGAGACGTGATGCAGCAAGAGTTCATTTGCGGAGAAGTCCGCCTGACGACGGGGAAATATGCAGAAGACAAGCAGTGGTTCGTTGAAGGAGCTGTCTCGTGCGCAGGTAAAGGATACTCTCTTAGTAGCATGCAAGGCCGCTGGGTTCCTTGCTGCGTACCCCGCTACGGTAGCTACACCGTCGTCCTACGTGACGCCTATGGAGATGGATGGGATCGATCCCGCCTTGAATTCCGCTTCTTTGGAGATCACCTGACCTTCGGAGAGGACTTTGACGGAGCTGAGAAGAAGTACAAACTCAATATCGGGCTCGTTCAGCTCCAGCGAGTCGAAGGCTCCGAAGATCGTATCGGATTTCAAGTTCAAGTAGCCGAGCCCCACATGCACGTCTGGTGTGGGGCTGCACAGTCCGGCACGCCCCCTCCCACCGTTGAGATCCTCAAGCGCTACGGGATCCGATCCCAAAACCCTACCAGTCACGCAGGCGAAGTCCTGCGCATGGAAATTGCCAACAAACCCAACAGCAGACGTGTTGTCATGCCCAACACAACGTATAACGTCTATTGCTACGCTGAAGCTTCCACCGCTGCGCTACGCGACCATACAACAGCCCCAGGAGGGCGCCACCATCAGATCATGGACGATGCACAAGTAGCTGCTTCGCGAATGGCTGTTACCACCGACAGCACGCCTCCCCAGCTATCTATCCAGGGATCGGAATCGCATTTGAACGAAGTGGTGGTGAGGGTAGCTACGGACGAGCCTGCGACCGTGTGGTGTCTGGCGCGAGATGCAAAGAAGGAAGCAGCAGCGGACGGGGAGGTGCCGTCTGTGGAGGAGCTGAAGAAAGGCAACAAGGTGCAAATCCTTGAGGGTCAGGAGGGAACGTTGCGGCCTCTCGAAGTCACAGGGCTTAGCCCAGACACAGAATACACCATCTACTGCCTTGCTCAGGACACCGCGATGCCTAAAGGCAACAGCATTAGCCTGCAGCAGGTGCAGGACGCTTCGTTCGCTGTGGCGACCAAGAGCAAGGTTCCAGAGCTCTCCATTGCCTCGTACAAGGCGTTTCAGAAGGGGTTTCGAGTCACAGTTCAAACAGACACCCCCGCAAAAGTCTGGTGCGGAGCGGCGATGGCAGGCAGCGCCTTCCCCAGCAGAGAGGAAGTCCGCCGCGTTGGTGCCACAGCCGAAATCGAAGAAGGTGGCTTGAAGGCAGAGCTGGAGATTCGAGGGGTTCCCCCCAACACACGCTACACCATTTATTGCTTCGCATCTTCCAGAGGTGGCAGTGCGGAGATGACCGATGCGCAGATGTGGGCGAAGGCTCTAGAGGTGACGTCCTTTGGCCGCTTCTGCGATATGCCTGTGGAGCCTCCAGATCTGGAGCAAGCCGAAAAGCCCACTTTGTTCGACCCCCTCACCTCCTCAGAAGAGTTCATGGTGCGCGAGTTCATGGCGAGACAACGGCATTTGAACATCGAGGGGGTGTATCGCATTAACCTCTTCATTGACAAGCCCAAGATCATCAACCACCTCGACAAGGGGGCCCCCGCCCCCAGACGTTATGCACGCGCCCGAGTGGGTACTTGCGTGGAAAGAGAAGGGGCCTATCGGCAGTATAAAGTGGGGCCCCTAGACGTGAGGAGTGTTGATCAGATGACGCTGGAACCTATTGGAGTCGTGGTGCCTACCGACTGCGGCGGCTATAACCCCCAGGGCGTCTTCGGGAGGCGGCTTTTAGCTGAGGAAGAGGAGGAGCAGCTTTCTGATCTTCTACAGGAGTCGTTTGGGTTCGGCTTCGGCAAAGCCAAGTGCCAGTTTGAACACAAAAAGCCCCACGACCAGCACAACGGCGGCTGTCTGGAGTTTGGTCCCATGCTGTACGAAGAAGGAGAAGATAAGAAGATCACCACTATCTGGGCCGGCTTGAGGACCCCCAATGGGGATAACATTCCATTCTACTTCTTGCTGCCGGCGCCTGAAGGGGTCGATGCGCAGACACTGCGGCAGCAGGAGGAGAGGGAGGAGCTAACGTTTAAACTCGACAAGGTAAAGGGCTACTGGTACAACGGACAGGGGTTCTCGACATTGCGGGAGCTTGTGGAGGCGTACAAGACGGACGCGAGTTTCGAAAAGGTAACTCCGGCAATATTTCAGCAGCGGCTGCTGGAGCAGCAAAACCAGCAGCAGCAGCAGCAGCAGCGTCAACGGAGGGACCGGCAAGCGGCGCTTCGACGTCTTGCTCCCACTTGGCTAGCTCCCAACCCAGAGGGGCGTGGCGGCTTGGAGTATCGAGCGGCTCCTGAACACATCGAGCCTCAAGGGAGGCGCTACACCATCAAGCAGTCGCCAGGAAAGGAGTCATACACCATCAGCTACGCAGGGTGGGAGTTCGTTATAAACATGGACCGCGACACTGCGTTGCGGCTGTGGGACATCCGCTTTCAGGGGCAGCGTCTAGTTTTCGAAATGGGTATGATGGAAGCTCTGGCCCACTACTCGGTTGCGGAAAGAAATTGGTACTTCATTGACTCGTGGTACGGTGGCTTAGGCTCAGCTTCCCGTCGACTCCACCCCGGCATCGAGTGCTCTAAAACCGGACAGCTACTATTCAATGGCGGCTCTCTCTGTATCTTTGAAAAAGACTTCGCAAGGCCACTCAGAGCCCATTGGAAGAGCGGCACGCTAAGAGACGGCGCCCCACACCTAGCGTTGGTGCTGCGACATATGATCACCGTTAGCAACTACGACTACATCACCGACTACTACTTCCACGTCAGCGGCTGGTTCGAAGCCTCTGTCTCCTTCACTGGAGAGCTTTATGCAGGCGTTGAGGTCCCGTGGTACTCTGCAAGACAACGCAGACACGGCACCCAAGTCAGCGGCTCGATGAGAATGGGAGCGTTGCACGGGCACCTCGCAGTGTGGAAGGTCGACTTTGACTTGACGCCAGACTACACCAGCAACTCCGTCGTCTTCAGCGAAATCGTGCACGACACAGCAAGACCTGGTGCAATCAAGCTCGACCAATGGATCGGGGAGAAAGAACTTGATGGCTACATTGCCTACAACAGCACACGACCCATACACTACACAGTTGTTAATGAAGACCACAACGTCTACGGAAATGTTGGAGGAATGACTGTCATCCCCTACCCCACAGTTGCAGTAAAACCATGCCCTGCTGAAGCAATGGCTGCTGGCTGAGCTGCTGCTGCTGCTGCTGATGATGACGATGCTTCTGGTGCTGCTGCTGCTGCTGTTTCATGCTGGATGGATTGGAGGAATAATATATTGATGAGTAGATCGCACACAGACAAAAGCCCAATACGCTTACAGGTACTGCTTGCCGTGCGCGATTCGGAATCCTGCCGGAGTAGAAAAGGTTTTGTCAACAGATCTTCTGCTGCTGCTGTTCCTACCTCTGTGGTTGCTTCAGATTCCGAATCCGAAGTTTGAGCTGTACACGGGGCCTTGTGCGTGGGCAAAGTACCGCGTGGCAACAACTGTTCGCCACCCTGACGAGACAGAGGCTACTCTGCCCCGTGATAATAAATATGCATTGAAGCCCGCGGTGTCTCTCGACCGTTATTTAAGGGTAAAGGAGACACCCCACACCTTTGAAGCAGCAGCATGCCAACGCCAACAACCTAGCTTGCGCCTCCTGCTGGTGATGGCGATAGTCACCGCTCGCTTACGCCTACTGCCCCGTGGTTGCCTGCAGCTGTTGTCAGCACGTCCACTATTTGCACTTTTATCGATTGGCTTCAAGCAGCAAATATGGAAGGGGCTGTAGTCAGTACACGAGTGTACGAGTGATAGTCTGGTTTGTGGTTGTGAGCAGAACAACGAAAGCATAAGAAAGGCGGATCTGGTGACTTGGATATCGAGTGCTGTGTGGCACATCCCAGTGGTTGAAGACATGCCTTTAACGCTTGCACAAGGGAACACCTTAGGCTGGCTAGTAAAGCCACACAACTACTATATGGAAGATATGAGCATGGACTTGCACAATGCAATAGGAGGAGCCGTTCAAGATCCCGGTACCTGTGCCCTCATCCGACAGGAAACACCCAAATACGGGGCTGACAGCGCAGATAGTTAACCCGAGAGAATACGCCCATGCACGCCTAAATATCAACAACACCTATGCAGTGTCAACACTGCACACGCATGCACCTACAACAGTGCACCCAACTGACGGCACTAAATCATGAAGGAGCAACAGGCGCAAAAACCAACTCAACTACAGGTATATAAACTTCCAGGCAGGATGCCTGCGGGGGCAGTTGCTGTCTCCAAGAGACAGAAATATTGCTACATAGGTCGACCAGAATTTCAGTACTCAGAGATATTAACACACATATGTCATTTAATAGATATATCCATGCATGTTTCTGTTTATGCATGCGATGCGTCTATGCCGCCATGTGCATTGGGCATGGATATATTTTCCACAGAAGGTTTCATAATCACGCAAGCACCTATGCTATGTACCTGAGTGCTTGCGAACAGATGTATAAAATATGGTTCATGGTCTGTACATTTATGTGTGTATAATTGTATGTATACATATATGCCTGTGGACAGTATGCATATGTATGCACATACACAATCATGTATACTTGTACATCTATTTATAGAAGTGTGCACATGCTTCTGTAGATCCATCAATTGAGAATGTGCTTCAAAAGACGACGACGTGGTGCAGCCCTTAGCTAAGGGATCACAGCACTGGAGACCCTGTAGGTTTCTTGAGGCAGAGGATTTCTTTGGTAATACCAACTGCTGACAACAGGCAGTCAGCAGCTCCTTTTGCCAGTGTATTTGTGGCTGCTGCAGCATGCAGCGACAGCCGTAGCAGCAGCTGCAGCGACAGAACTGAACTTCCGACCTTCATAGGTTTAACATTTGTGTCGGAGATGGGTGGACCATATATGCCCCAGAACAGTGCAAATCATAAGCGCAGGCAGGCAGTTGGATGTATGCACTGGGGAAGAAGCGCTAGTAGGTACGCAGCAAGAGCTGCAACAGGCAACACATATACACTAGTACCCTAGAGGCTACCTGCGCACAGATAGGGTGCATATATACACGGATATATTGTTAAATGGCTTCGAGTGCATATGCATATAGCACAGTATAGACATGTTTGCAAGTTACGAAGCACACCAGCCTTGCGAAGGAGGCGGCTCGCAGTTTGACCGGTTTGCAGCTAGGGTTTGGCGTTTTGGGCTTGCTGTTAGACAAATTGTCGCAGAACCTATTGAATAAAAAATAAGGAGGATTCAAATAGTCTCGAAAATTCGGGTCTAATGGAACAAAGAGCCCGCAGGACTCCGGCTGCTGTCTGGAACAATGACATGCAGCTCCTTATATTGCTGCTTTAGCTGCTGTTGCTAAAGCTGCTGCTGCAGGTGCTCCTGTTGGTGGTCCTATTGCTGCCGCTTCAATCGTGCCTGCTTCTATTGCTGTTGCTGCTGTTTTCCCTTCTGTCAGTGCTGCAGCAGATTCCGTGTGATCATCTTCAAACACTTCAAGGAACACTCCAAGTTGCTGCTTCTCTGGCAACTTGAGCATCCGCCAAAAGTCGCTGTAGTCGGCCTGCAAGAACTCGAATGCGTTCATGTAGAGATTGGTGGGGTCTGTCTGCACTGCTGTCGTGGGTCTGTTCTGCTCCAAACAAGCTGCTGCTGCTGTTGCTGCTGTTCTTGCGCCGTTCTGCTTCCTCATACAGCAGGCGCACTACAGACGGCGCCATGGCTTCCGTTGCAGCGAGCAGCATCTCAGCAGTGGTTCCGTTGCTGCTGTTGGTGCTGCTCCTCTGAGTAAAGCACCTGTTACTCCAGCAGCAGCTGTCAGTGGTGCTGCTGTGTAGAAGAGGGCGGGTCTGAAGCAGTAGATGCGACGGCAGGTGAGCCTGCTGCAACAAGTTGTCCCTTCGTTCTAAAAGGAACTCCTCGTGGCATTGCTCTCCATAGATGGTTTTCTTCTCGAGTCGTTCATTTACTTCAACTTGCCTCGCGAGGTCGTTGAAAAAGCTGCAAAAGTCTCGCTGCCCGGGGGGGCGGCTTTGGGGGCGCTGCTGCCGCTGGCCTCCAACAGCACCAGTAGCAGCAGAACCATCAGCTGCTGCTGCAGGAGATGCGGGAGGGGCCTTGCCTGCGGTTGAAAACGAGATGCTTATCTCTTCAATGGTGCGAGGGCGCAGAGAGGACAGGTAAAATAGATTCGGAGAAAAGCTCAAACAATAAAAACCGCGGGCCCCCGTGTAGGCTGCATGCAACAGCAGCAGCGGCTGCATACAAGGAATTAACGAAGCATCTGCTGCTACTGCACCGCCGCCTGCAGTACCAACTACCAGCTGCAGTAGTGGCTGTTGCCTTCCCCAGCTGCAACTAGGCGAGCAGCAACAACATTCATGCACGTCGCTGCTGCTGCTGCCACCTCCAACAGAACCGTCACCACCACCACTCCTGCTGCTGCTGCTGTAACGGGCTGCGAAGCAAAGCCAGCGGTGGTGTAGCGCAAGGATGTGTTTTATGCCATGCTGTGAGGTGTAAAGGTACCTTGGCTCCGCTGCAGCAGCATAGAGTGAGTCCTCGCGCTCGACAGCGTCGAAGCAGGCCCCAGGGAAGGCAGCCAGTTCCCCACAAAGAGACAGCGACAGAGACTGATTCGCAGAAGACGAGAGGGAGATAGTGCTACCGCTGCGGCTGCTACTGCACTGAAGGCCTTGGCAGCTGCACTGGAGCTGCGCATCAGCTGGTGAAGACCGCTCTTCGGGATTGCAAGCAAACCCGCTACTGCTGCTACTTGTATTAGTGCGGCAGTTCTCCCCCTTGCTGCTATTGCTGCTATCTGTCTCCGAGTAGCACGGCATCATAAAACGGTCTGTCTCTGCGAGACGAGGCAGCAGCAGGGCGGCCCTGTCAGGGGCAACCATGCATGCAGCGAGGGTCACGAAGCCCAAAAAAGAACGCGAAGCAGACACTCGCATTCCAGGCAGGTTGCTGCTGCTGTTGCAGCTGCATGCGAACGCCTCGAGTGTTTCCACCTGAACTTTGAGGGGAAGCCATATACAAGCTTGAGAGAAGGCCGCCACTTCAGCAGCCAAATGACCTGCCGCTGTCTCCTTATCGTTGTCAGGCGCTGCTGCTGATGCTGCTGTTGTTCTTGCTGTTGCTGTTGTTGGTTCGTCTTCTGCAAGCAGCATTCGCCGCTTCTGGTGCAGAAGTCCGAGAGGGGCAACCCCGGCGAGCACCAAGTAGACCACCACGTATGCAGGCATTCTAGCCAGCTGCTGCATGAGGTCGATATCTTCCTGATGCTGCTGCTGCTGCAGCTGCCTCTGCCGCTGAGCCTGTAGCTCTGCCGTTGGCAAGGAGAGAGCGTCTTCTTCGTTGAGGGCCTCTTGCATGCGCACGCAGTCCCGGCGCAGCAGCAGAAAAGCCCCCAGAGTTTCTGCTGCTGTGCCCCATACAGCAAACGGCACACGTCGAGCGGCAGCTGCGGCGGCAGCAACAGCAGTACCTTCTGATGCCGTTATTGACTCTTCTGCCTCTGCAGAAGAAAACGGTTGCCATCCTCCACCGGGACCTCCTGATACTGGCTGAGCGCCGCTAAGTGCTGCTGTGTCTGACAGTAGGGGCAACACCCACAGCAGCATGAGCTGCTGCAGTTCTTTAAAAAATCGGAGTTTGTAAGAGACTGAGGGGAAAATATAAGAAGGCACCTCGCTTTCAACGAGCGAGAACCGACTGCGCTTCTGCTGCTGCTGCTGCTGCTGTTGCTGCTGCTGTTGCTGCAGTTCCCAGCGTTTGCGCTGTTGCGTCTCCCTGCCGCTGCAGCACACGCTTCGTCGCACGCATTCAAATATTCGGCGAAGTGCATGCAGGGCACAGCACCACAGTAGCGGCTCCTGCGAGGGCGGCAGAAGGCCCCGCAGCAAGACGGCCCCCAGCAGCGATGAGAGGTCTCGAGGACTCAGAGCCCCTGCTGCAGAAGGCAGCAACGCAAAGAAATAACAGACCATTGCTGCAGTGAATTGACGTTGCTGCTGCACTTGCTGCTGCTGCTGGCGCCGCGCAGCAGCAGCAGATAGGCCAAAGCCCGCGTGGGCAAACCCCACGACCAGCGCCGCCAGCTGCGGCAGGCGGTCGCAGTGTCTGCAGCAAAACCGCAAAACTCCCAGCTGCAGGGCAGAACAGGCCTGTAGCTGCCGCAGCAGCCTCTTTTGCAACTGATGCTGTTGCTGCATCAGCTCTTCCGTCTGCCCATGTGCGCCCGCCTTCTTCGTCTCCCCTTCACGAACAGAGCCTACATCATCTGCAAAACCAGCAGCAGCATTGGTTAGCTGCTGCTTGTAGCTAGCCTTCGCAGCAGAGAGTTGAAGAAAGATCTCCCTGGACGTCTCTAATGCGCGAGCAAACAAGACCGCCAAGCGGCGGCTTGTCTGCATCTCTGAAAAGGCAGGGAGATCCCTGTAAGCAAGTGCCTCAAGGAGACAGGCGCAATATAGAACTGGAAGAGATGTCGAGGGGCCCCCTCCTTCTCTGGGAGCCCTTTGGCCACCAAGAAGACTAACACAAGAGATATTTTCAACAAAGTCCTGCTGCGCTCCTAACACACAGCACTCAGGCTCAGCCTCCTGCAAATCAGAATGCTCCTGCTGCTGTTGTTGTTGCTGATCTTGCTTCTGCTGTTGCTGTTCGTTTAGGGAATGCGGCGGGCACAGGTGGAGAGGAGGCGATGCGCCGCTCCTCAATCCCAGATGGCCCAAAGGAGACTGCTGCGCACGCTCTTGCTGCTGGTGTTGTTGCAGATGCTGTTGCAGCTGCAGCTCAAGGTGCCCGTCGGGCAGGAGCAGTTGCTGTCCCTCGCGTACCTGCAGCAGGTGCTGCAGCGCCATTCGCGTCAAACTTTTTTCAGGAAGGCTGGCGAGGGATCCCTCTGGTGTGTGGCTAGTGAGATGTATATATACCAGACTCAATACAAGACTTGCTGCAATATCGGGGGCCCTTTGCTGCAATGCGCGCCCTGATTGCGACCCTCCAAAGGACACAACAGAGCCGCTGCCGCTGCGGACATACAACCAATCAATCAACCGCTCCAAGGCATCACTGGACGCGTCTTGCTGCTGGTGCTGCTGCTTGCCTTGTGCGCGCCGCGCTGGCTGCTGCTGTTGCTCCTGCTGCTGTACACGGCTATCTGCGTCTGGGTGCCTTAAGGCGAAGGAGACAGAAATGAGGCATGAGGCCCCGGCACTGCGCTGCGCAGCTGCAGCATGTGTTGGCGGCAGCAGAAAAAGGGGGACCCCCATGAGTGCTGCAGCAGCAAAAGCCCTAGCGAGCTTCCCTACCGCCCCCACTGCACTTGATGCTACCATGCGGCTGACGACGCGTTCAAACTGCAACAGCAGCCGCTGCAGCTCTGCCACCTGCTGCTGTGAGCGTTGGAGGCGAATCTGCTGCTCACCATGTTGTTGTTGTTGTTGTTGTTGCTGTTGTTGTTGTTGTTGTTGTCGTTGTTGTTGTTGTTGTTGTTGTTGTTTTTGTTGTTCTTGTTGTTGTTGTTGTTGTTGTTGTTCTTGTTGTTGTTGTTGTTGTTGTTGTTGTTGTTGCTGCTGCTGCTGCTGTTTATGCAGCAGCAACAGCAGCAGAGGCAGCATGGAGTGCGTGAGGTGGGCCAGCCCTGTAAATCCCAAAGAAGAAATATCAGGGAGGCCCTCCTGCAGTCGCTCTTCTAGTCGTTGCAAAAAGAACAACGCCTCATCAAGAGACAGCAACCCTGCCTCCAAGACAACAGGCAGCAGCGAGCCCAATCCCAGCAGGGCGTTCCACTGGGGCCCGATGTGACCGCTGCCACCGCTCACCAGCAGCGCACCCTCCAGCTGTCTGTACAGCTGCAACAGCTGAGGATACAACGCAGAAGGATCGGGTGTCTCCAAATGCGTCACACGGGAAACTACTGCCACTGCGACACCTAACGCTGCAGTTACACCTGAAGAGACATCTGAGGAGATTCCAGTGACGTCAGCCTCTCCCTCTCCTGCTTCTCCCTGATTCTGTCTCTGCTGTATAGCTGTGTCCTCCTGCTCTTCACTTGGCTCTCGTTTGCCTTCAACGTTGTCTTCCTGCTTCGCAAGGTCCCGCTTTTCTGTAGCTGCTGTTCTTGCTGATGATGATGGATGAGCCCCATGGGCTGCGGTAGCTGCTGCTGCATACAGGGAGGCAGCAGGCGCCTCGGGGACCCCTATGGCAGCGCTAAGGGCCTGGAGACAGACGGAAAGTCGCAGAGGGTCTCCACTGTGGCGCTGCGCGTCAGCAGCAAGAAAGACACACCGCGCAGCAGCAAGAAAGTCGTTGCCTGCTTTGGCTGCTGACCCGCAGAGGCACTGCTGCATTCCTCTAGCAGCTGGGGTAGAGGCCGCAAGGGAACCCCTGCCCTGCCCGCTTGTGTTGGGGTCTCGAAGGAGCGCAGCAAACACCGCAGCTCCCTCCTGCGTCTCTGCTGCTGTAAGGCACAACTCTGACATGTCGGCAGTGGTTGCATGCAAGGGAGCAAAAGCCAGCAGCAAACAACTTCCCAGCCTGAACACTCGCACGCAGAAGCACCAGCAGTAGCAACAGCATGCCCCTCTCAAAACGGCACAACAAATCCTACTCCACACACAATACAACCTAAACCCTAACCGCTTAAACCCTAAACCACGAAGCCTAATGGCGGTCGAGTGCCCTTCGGGGCTCAAAGAGCTACCCCAAACACTAAACCCTTAATCACACCACGTGGATGCTGGGTCCAGGGTTGGCATATGAAGCAGGGGAGAGTGGCGTGAGGGTTTTTGGTGAAACTGGGATCTACATGAACGCAACCCATGGGCGACTGACCATGGGGGAGGGGGGGACGCTGCTGATGGGGAAAGACGCTGCAAGAAGAAGGAAGAGATATGAGGCAGCAAAGCTCCCTGGCGAGCTGCAAGAGCACTGAGGAGGCTCGCATACAGAGACACCTCTGCAACTCGCATGCCAAACATGCCGCTGCTGCTGTTGCTGCTCGTCAGAACCTCCTGCTGCTGCTCCTCCGCTGCTGCTGCTGCTGCTGCGCGAGGAAGCAGCGAGTCCAGCTGCTGCAGCAGCTGCAGCCCCAGCTGCAGCAACTCCGCGTCGGCCGCAACAGCAGCAGGTAGCAGCGCAACAAACCTGAAAGCAGCAGAAAACCGCAGGCAGCCACCCAATATGCCTATCTCTTTCATTTGGCAGCCGCCATCCCGTACCCTCCAAGTGTATGACTGTCGTCTTCACTAAATATACACATATATTGGGAAAACGGCAGTCATACATATATACATATACAGGCAACACAGATGCAGGTATATACATTCTATATAGATATACACAAACATATATGTATGTTACGCGTATATATGTGTATGTAGGTACGTGCATATACATACATATATGCAAAGATAAAAACACAAAAAAAAAACAAGAACAAAGAAAAAAGTGAGTTGTCCAACCGGGCCAAACAAAGCAAACCGAACAAAACACACACGACAGAATAGCCCCAGAAGAGACAGCTCACCGCTGCAAAAAGAAATCGCAAATGCTGGGAAGGAAGCAAAGCAGCAGCGGCTCAGTTGTGGACAGTTGTCTTGCGATGTCTCGTACTTCTAACAGAGTATAAAGACGCAGTTCCTTCAATTCTGCACGCAAGACACAAGACGGCCTTAACACACCAAGCACACTCTACTGCTGAAGCTAATGCCATGGCCCCTGCGGTAGCTGATGTGGATGCTGTGGTTGCTGGTCCTGCTACTTTGGCTGCTTGTGTCAGATCTCCTTCGCAAGCAGACACACACAGAAGGGGGAGAGTGGCAGCACGCAGACCGTATCAGCAGCAACAACCACAAGAGCACCAGCAGAAGCAGAAGCTGCAGCGCGCTGCGTACCCCTTGCTTCGCTGTGGTTGCCCCCTGCTGCTTTGGGTCCGGCGAACAGCAGTAGGCGCAGCAGCGCGCGCTCGCTGTGAGCTTCTGCTCCAGTGTCAGCAACAGTAGCAGAGGCTTTTCTGGCAAGGATATCTCCGAGTCTGTGCTGCTGCTGCTGTTGCAATAGATCGGCGGCGGTTGGGGCACCGGAGCCTCCTCTGATGATGCGCTCTCTGCTCATTGCCGCAGCAAGAAGACATGCAGCACCTCGTACCTCCAGAGGGCGAAGCGGCAGATGCAGCACAGCGCCTTCAATGCCTTCGCTGCATGCAAAACGCACTGCATGCGCTGCTCCTGCAGGGACCCGTAGGACGCCCCCTGCTGCTGCTGCTGCTGCTGCTTCGTACAGCGGACCTAAGATGAGGGACGCAGACTGAAGAGCCACGCAACGAGCAAAGGGAGAGCCTGACTCCGACACCTCCTGCAGCAGCAGTAGCTGCTCCTGCACCTGCGTCTCCAAAGCTGCAGGCAGCCCGCTCTCTGTCTGCTGCTGCTGCTGCTGCGGAGCCTCCAGGCGCATCTGTTGCTGCTGCTGCTGCTCGTAGTCGATCTGCTCCTCCAGATCCTGAGAGAGCGCATAGAGAACTAGGGAAAGCCCCTCGAGAGCAGCAGCAGGTGCATGCAAGGTGTTGAATAGAAAGGGGGCCTTCCGCCGCAGCACCCTCAATATCTTCGGGGCTTCCAGGAAACGGCGCATGCAAAGACGGCCCAAGGTACTCAACGTCAACCCACAAGCGTACTCCCGCAACCACTGCTGCTGCTGTTCTCGGTGTTGTTGGTGCACCCCGCCGCTGCAGCAACCCGCTACCAGCTGTTCCATTGCCGGTAAGAACTGCAGCAGGGCCCGAGGTGACACCACCTCCAGCTGCTGCAGACAATACGCCAAAAGCAGCTCCTGAAGGGGCGACGCTGCCGTAGGGAGAACAAACGGCGCCCACACCACAGCAGCAGCAGTTTCTCCAGTCCCTCGTTCTGCCTCTCCTTTGCTGTGTTCTGTGTCGGCTGCAGCGGCAGCACCATCACTACAACCAGCAGCAGCAGTACCAGCAGCAACCGGGGCAGCAGCAAGTTTTGAGTATGGCAGTTCTTCGAAAGCAGCGAGACGTGAGAGGCCCCGCATGAGAAGGAACCACCTTCCGTTAATAGACACCAGCTGCTGCGCAGCAACGGCCTGAAGGCAGCAGGCAAGGGCGCCCAAAGGGTCGCTGCTGCACCAGCAGCAGCGTCTGCAGCAGCAGCAGCGGCTGCACCAACGCCTCATTCCTGCCCCTTCATATGCTCCAGATCCACTGCAACACCCGCAAAGCGGAACACCGGTGGCAGCGAAAGCGCCGAGCCATTCGTCTTCCGCAACACTCAAGGATCCAACCGGCTGATGTTGCTGCTGGTGCAGCGGCAGCAGATCAGTTAGAGCTCTGTAAACAGGGAGCACTGCTGTCTTGTGGAGGCCTAGAGAGGCGAGCGCCTGCACAGATAGCGCAAAGACACAGCTCAGGCCGCGCAGAAGCTGCCTCCTCTCTGCTATTGCTGCTGCTAATTCTGCTGTTGCCGGTAATGGTCTTGAAGGAGCGGTAGCTTTGGCAGCCAATGTCTCGTCCCCATCAAACAAGATGAACTCATCTGGAAGCAACGGACCTTCTTGCTGCTGCTGCTGCTGTTGTTGCTGGCTCTTCCACCTGAGGAGAGCTTGCACGACGGGGGCTGTGGGGGGCCTTGGGGCAGCAAAGTGGAGTGCCGGTAGCAACTGAAGTGCAGCAGCAGGTGCAGCGGCAACAAGAGCAGCTAGAGCAGCAAACGCTTGCTGCCTATCCTCGAGACACTCTGCAAGGAAGCAGCAAGCGAGTAAGTATGAGTAGGGCCCCTGATGCAGCAACGCGCTCGGCAGCGAGAGAAGGAATGCCGTGCTTTGAAGCTCCTCGGTGTGCTGCCTCCGCAGTAGCTGCTGCAGAAGCATCCACTTCTGTCCTGCTGCTGCTCCTGCGCCAGTGTAGCAGTCCGCGGCAGCGCCAGCCCCATGCTGCTGCTGCTGCTTCTGTTGATGGGCTTCTAAAAGCGACCTGCTTTCTGCTGGAGCAAGTGCTGCTGGCCCCAGCAGCTGCTCTGCTGCTCCTCTGTCTAAGACACGGAAACCCCACAAGGCGACAGAGAGAGGCATCGCTGCCGCAGCGCCGCTGCTCTGCAGCATCAAACCCTCCACCCCAAACAGCTCCTCCAAGCTGCACCCACTGCTGCAGTTGTTGTTGCTGCCACTGCTGTTGCGGCAGTTGCTGCCGTTGCTGCTGCAGCTGCACGGAACGTCGGAAGGAACGGCATCAGCAGCAGCACCTCCTGCTTCTGCTAATATCCTTGCTGGTGGTTTGTCTGCTGCACCTGCAGAGTCTGAAGAGGACAAGGCTTGCGCTGCTGCTGCTGCTGCTGCTGCTGCGGAACACAACACCGCACGCGCCCTGCGAGATGTTTGCTGCAGTGTGCCGTTCAACTCCGTTCTGCAGTTGCCAGCTCCAGCAGCAAGCTGCTGCTGCGTTACCAGCGGCAGCAGCAGCAGCAGCAACGGGGAGAAACAGCAAATACGCCGGAGGGCCTGGTCGCGGTAGAGGCAAGCTCGGCAATACCTGCTGCTAATGTTGCTGCTGCTATTGGGGGAAGGGACGAACTGCGGCTGCAGCTGCAACAATCGATCAGTAGCCTGCAGCAGCAGCCGCAACAAGGACTCTGAAGTGGCTTCTGTTGCGGCTGAGCTCCACAACAGCCAGCCAACCGAGGCGCAGCTAACGCGCCACAGGCCAACTGAAAGCCTGCAGGCCGTGGTGCTGCTGTCGCTGCTGCTGCTGCATGGAGGGATAGATATTTCTAAAGGAGAGAAGAGGCTGAGACAGCCCAGCAGCTGCTGTAACAAAGGTGTGGGGTCTTTCAGCTGCTCTCGTGCAGTGTACAGACCGCAGGCGCATTCCCACAGCAGGCGGCTTGCTCGTGCTTGCTGCAGCTGCACCTGCACTTGCAGCAGCAACGAACGCGTTCCCCCGCTGCTGCTGTTGGTGACGCCGTGGCTTTTTGTGGTTTGCTGTTGCAGTGCAGCGAGTGCAGCAGCAGAGAGTTCGGTCGTCCGCAAGGCAGCAGACAGACAACAACTCAACTCCTCAACATGCCTCACTCTTACTAAGACAGAGAGAGCCAAGTGCAGCAGCCTGTCACTCCTCGTGCTCGCTTGCTGCAGCAGCTGCTGCTGTTGCTGTTGCTGCTGCCGTTGTTGCTGTTGCAGATAGTGTACACTCGCCTGCACTTCTAACCTGCCCAGCACATCAACGCAACTCAGCATCCGATTGACTGCGATAGGCAACAGGGAGCAGCTGCTGCTGTTGTTGCTGCTGTTGCTGAAGCCTAGCAGCAGCTGCAAAGCCGTCTGCAGCGTAGGCTCCAGCAAGACGCTGAACGCCAAAAAAGGAATGCTGCTGCTGCTGCCTCTGCTGTTACTGCTGCTGTCGACGCTGTTGCTGTTGGTCTCTAGGACAGAGGAGACGGCCTCTACCGCAGCAAGGCACAGGTGAGGACAGAAATGACTCAACCTCACCACTGCATCTCGGATTGTTGCGGTTGCTTGCTGCAGCCGCACGACCTGCTGCTGATTCACCTGCTGCTTCTGTTGCCGCTGTTTCTGCTGCTGTTTCTGCTGCTGCGGTGCAACCGGAAGCAACTTATCTTGCAGCGCGAGGTTAACGAGTCGCTGCACCAGCAGCAGCTGCATGCTGGGTGGCAGCAGTTGTTCAACTCTGTTGTTGTTGCCGTTGTTGGCGCTGTCACCCGCTGCTCTGCTGCTATGTGCAGCAGCGAGACGTGCATGCAATGCGTCCGTAACCTGTTGCGCCCCTAAAGCCCCCTCTGCAATGAGGTCTATGAGGCAGGCAAGGGCCTCGCTGCGACAGGTGCGGCGCAGCAGTTCATCTGCTGCGGTTACTGCCGCTGCTGCTGCAGGCTGCACGGCTCCTGCTGCTGCTGCAGGCGGTTGAAGGAATGCTGCACAGGGCAGCTGCTGTTCCCCATTGAAAGCCACAGCAACAGTAGCTTCAGGAGCAGCTGCTGGTGCAGGAGCCCCCGAGAGGGTCCCGTGCTCTAAAGCGAGTAGCAGCAGCTCGAGAGCGACTTGCCTTTCTTTGGGGAGGTGTACATTCTGCAGCAGCAGTTGCTTCAGCTTCTGCAATCCGCTGCTGCGTACATAGGCGGTGGGTGCCTCTAGCAGCTTCACAGCCTTCTTAGCAGCTGGAGAGAAGGGCCCCTGGCGAGCAGCAGCCAGCAGAGCAGCAACACGAGACGACACGCTGTTGCTGCTGCTGCTTCCGCCTCCGCTCCAACGCCCGCCATCAGCAGTAGCAGCGTACGCAGCTCCAGCACCACCAGCTGGTGCTCCTCCTACGGGTTCTTGCAGCATATTGCTGCTGGCGTGGCTGTTGCAGCTGCTGCTGATACAGCAGCAGCAAATTCAGTATGAGCAGACGAAAATGTATTTGTCAGAGAGAAGACAGTTCGCTGCTCTCAGATAAATCGCAGCAACGAAGGCGCTGAAGGGGGCCCCCTAGGGCCTCCTGAGGTCATTGCTTGTGGAGGGTGCTGTTGATGCAGTAACGGGGGAAGGAGAAAAGAATAATTAATCAGTGAAATAGGTGAAATGAAATCAAAAGAACGAATTAAATAGGGGAGGAAAAGACAACAAAAAAGAAGCAACATCCAGATAGGGTGCCTGGTGTTCTTAAAGCTGACGTCGGGCCTCCGGGCTGCTTAACCCTAAACACTAAACCCTTTGGATCATGTCTGCATACAAGGAACCAACTTGAAATATATGGTTGTGAGGGCAACATTATTATAGTCAACACGACAGGTAAAAGGGTTTACTAATAACTCTAGCAACCCAGTGATTCTGCAACAAACTAATATAGCAACAGAGCGAATAAAAGAAGGGGGGAGCAACCATTACGTAAGGAGGCCCACTTAAGTCACTCTACTTGTTTTCTGCATTTTCCCTGTTTTATGTATTGCTATTATCATCTACACATTTCCATTTGTATAGTTCAATCGTTTAAGTTTTGAGATTAAATCAACTAGAGGATAATGAAAAATAGGAAACACTGCCCTCTCTGTCTCTATGCAACTGCAGCAAAGGCAACAGGGGCATTAGTCTCTGCAGCTTGCGTGCTTGCACGCATGTTTGGGGTGCTGCAGCAGTGCGCAATTGGCTACAAGTAAAGAAGCACGTGAGCACCGCAGGTTAGGTAGCAAGCGAGTTTGTGTCTGTACTGATGTGTACGTACACCGCAACCAGCAGCAGCCTAAAACGGGAAAAGAGTTTAAAACGAAGCAGAAGGCGATGACCAGCATGCAATTAAAAAAGGGAGCCAAGCTCCAAACATCCATTCTTAGGCTTTGAGGGGCCGAGAGAGAAACACAGAAAAAAGGAGACAGGAACGGAGACAATGGGGCAGGGAGAGAGGAGGGAGCGATAGTGAGACCGAGGCAAGAAAGGGCAAAAAAAGACACAGGAACACGGAGACAGCATGTGACGGAGACACTGAGACGGAGACGGAGGGGTAGAGACACAGCATCAACTCCCTCTCATATTGAGGCCCCTCTCATACCTTTAAATAACTAAATCGACCAGGGATAATGCGTGCAGTCAGGGCTGTTGTGCTGCTGCTGTCCCTGCAGGAATAAGTGCGGTGTCTTGCACAGGGTGGGGTTGTTGATATTGCCCCCTCTGTGGCCCAGGCTACTTCATCGAGCCTGGAAGTAGTGTTATGTTTATTCGATTCTAGTTACTGCTGCTGTTGTTGTTTTGCTCCCAAGGTCACAGTTGTTGCTGCTGTTAATGTTGGTGCAACTCTCTGACTATCTGGGGGGTTTCGGATATTCCTTGTGTCGCTGCTGTTGCAGCAGCAGCAGCAGCAGCAGCAGCAGCGCTTCAGTTCCCTGTCTCTTCCTTTACGAATCAGAGACAATAAGGGGTCTTTGCATGTCTCCCTGATTGCTGCTGCCGGAGACAGAAGAAGGCCTTAGCACTGCTGATTGCCTGTCGCTGTGTTGTGCTGCCCATCGGCGCAGCACAACAGCAAGGAAGATAACAGCAAACAGTAGCAAGGCAGCACAACCTGCCACTAGTAAGGCACTAGACCCCTTGCTTGTGGGTGCCCCCTCTTCCTGATGCTTATCCCCCTCAGGCTCGTTTGCTGCTTCTGCGGCGGCTGCTTCTGTTCCCCCCTTCTCTGCAGACTCTGTCTCCTGTTCACTAGCGCTGGGGCGTTTCCAACCCATCAGCTGCAGCCCTCGCATCCAGCTGCCCTTTTCCTCTTTCTGTTGTTTTTCTTCTTCTGATGCTGCTTTTCCTGAAGCAGCAGCAGTGGGAGAAGACCCCGCGAAGAGGGACCCTAGCAGGCCCGAGCTTTCCGGAGCAGCAGTGGTTGTCTCCGTCGGTTTGTTACTGCTGAAAGATAGCAGAGAGAGGAAGCCACTCCCACCCCTCTCCGGTTGCTGCTGTTGATCTGCTCCTGCTGCTGTTGCTGTTGCCTCTTCTTTATGTTGCATACGATGGAGGAAGGCCCCCCAAGATGATCCCGCAGCACTGCGCGCATCAGCATCATCGCCTCCAGCAGCAGCAGTTGTTGTTGTTGTCGTTGTTGTCGTCGTTGTTGTTGCTGCTGTTGTTGTCGTTGTCGTTGTTGTTGACCTATACTGAGCAGCAGGAGGACTACCCGCCACGACCTTGCCGTAGCTGTCAAGACATCCGGGAAGGGCAGTCTCCAACCACGTCGATTTGCATGCTGCGTAGCAGGATCGTTTGTTGCTGTATTCATAAGAACTCAGTCCGTGGGGCGGCTCTCCGCCTTCGGCAGCAGCAGCAGCAGCAGCAGCAGCAGCTTCATCCCCATCGCAGCGCTGCAGACAGTCTCTAAAAGGCGGCAGAGGATCACAGTCTAGAGGAGGCCCTTCCTTATACACTGGAGGCAATGCCTCTCGTACCTCAGCTTGTGCTTCTGTTGCTGAACCTGCCTCTGCAGAGTCTGCTGCTGGTGATGTTTCTTCTGAATCTTCAGCACCAGATCCTAATCCTCCCAGCCACGCCGCGCCGTCTATAGGACGGAGGTCAGCAGCTGCTTGTTTTGGAGATAAAGATGTGGCAAGCGCCTTGCCTACTGTCTCTGCTGCAGTAGCAGCAGCATCTGCAGCAGCTGCAGCTGGCGCAGGGGCTTCCTCCGCTGCTGTGTCTTTACCAGAAGCTGCGAATCCTAGAAGACGCTTCGTTGCCTCTAAAATTGACTCTTTATGTGGATCGGTTTTGGGGTTGCATGCGCACGCCTTATCTGCTGCAGCAACAGCAGTTTCTGACGAGCACTCGCATTTGTTTCCCTCTTCGCCTTGCTTTTGCTCCTGTTGCTGCTCCTGCTGCTGTGCCCAGGGCCAGACAGCAGCTCCAGCAAGGATTGGTTTAGAAGCATCTGCTGTAAGGGCTTGCAGCACTGCATCTGCCTTTTTAGCACCTACATCTGCTCCTTCAGAGACAGTTTTTGCTGCTGACTCGAGGGTATCCGCTGCTTGTGCAGCACTGTCTGCAAGGCCTTCAAGACTGTTGCTGGCTCTTCTTGCTGCTGCCGATGCTCCTGCTGCTGTTTCCTTCACTCCCTGGGATCCTGTATGCAGCCAGCTGCTCACGACAGAGCTCCAGGAGCTCAGAGCTGCCTGTGCATCTGCTGCTGCTCGTTGGAGTGTATGCACAGCCTCCTCTGCTTTGTGGGAGGTCTCGCCAACAGCATTTGCTGCAGCTGCTGCTGCTTCCGAAGACTTTGTCTCCACGCTTTTGCCAAGAACCGATAGCGTGTGTTGCGCCTGCTGCGCTGCTGCTGCTGCCTTCTCTGCTGCTTCTGCTGCTGCTCTTCTTGCGGTCTCAGCTGCTGCTGCTGCCTTCTCTGCTGCTTCGGATGCCGTGTGAAGCGTTTCACCAGAGCTGTTCTTAACTGCCTCCTTGATGTCAGCAGCCCAGCTAACAAATGCTGACTTTGCGTCTTTCGCCTTTACTGACAGGTCTCTAGCTGCTGCTCCTGCTGCTGCTGCGGCGGCTGCTGTTGTCTGGCGAGCTGCCTGCAACGCCGCATCCGCTGCACCCGGTGCCACCTCATGGAGCATCGCTCCAAAGGCATACAGACCCTGCTTCGCCTCCTTAGCTGCATCGGATGCTGCTGCTGCTGCTGCTTCGGCTGCTTCGTGTGTCGCCTGCCGCGCTGCTTCTGCTGCTCGCTTGGGCCCGTCCCCTCCCAACCAGTTCCAGGCATCATCTGTAGCCCTCTGCAAGCCTTCCTCTGCAGTTTTGCCTGTTTCCGCTGCTTCTTCGTGCGCTGTTTCTGCTGCATCTTCCATGGCTGAAGCAGCATCCGCGACGAGACTCGTAGCCGATGTCACAGACTGCTGCAGCAGACGAGCAACCTTAGCAGAAAAGTTCTTCTGAAGTTCCACTCCATTCTCACTAGTGGACTTTTCCTGGGCGGTGTCAACGAAGAAGCCTCCACTAAGGAGGCCAGCTGCAGCAGGTTCCTCAGGAGCTGGTGCTGCTGCAACTGCTCCGGTGACAGTTGCTGCTGCAGAGTTCGGTTCTTCTGTCTGCACACCTGGTAGCAGATCTCTGACTGAAAAACCAAGAACGAAAACACTACTGCAGCGGGCAGCCACAAAGGCCCCCAAAAGGGCGGCTGCCGCAGCTCGGCGGCTGTGCTGGAGTCGCATGACAGATGGTGATGCTGCAGAGAGGAGTGGCGACTGCAGCGGCGGCAGCAGCAAGAGGCAACGACCTTCAACTGCTGCAGTGTTCTGGATAAATTTAAAAAGAAAAACTCGAAAAGAGGAACTACAACTTACGACTAAGCATGCAACTTGTATCGCGCCGCTGCGGCGTCGGCGGCGCTGCTGCAGCTGTCGACAGACGCAGCGCTGCAGCGGTGGGTGGTGTCGTTTGGAGTCGTTCGTGTTCTTAAATTGAAACACCTTCTTGAAATTTGTAATTAAAAAGCATATTCAAGGTGAATTACGAGAACACCCTGGAAAAAAGAAGCGTCGCTGTCCAGCATCCAGAAGCTGCAGCAGCAGCAGCTACTGCTGCTGCTGCTGCTGCCGCTGCCGCTGGTGCGGTCTGTTGGCTGCAACGGCTGGTCGGCAGCGCGGCTACCAGTGGAGCTTTGCTTCTGCTGCATATTTGTTTGTATTTTTAGTTTGAATACGAAACAAAGCAACTGTTATACATAATTAATTTAAATGCGTGACGTGTTTCTCCACCACTGCCCGTACCACCAGCCAAACGCGACAGGCGCTGGGTGTTGCAATTGGGGGCGTCGCAGCTCCCTGCAGCAGGTTGAATCACAAATGCCTTCTACTAGATACAATAATGTCAAAATACTTCTTGCAAAACATGTTGAATCAATCAGTGCACTACAAACGTTTTGTTAACTCATCTGTTTAACCCCTCCACTTGTGCCTGCTGCAGCGACAGCAAGCGCGAGTGAACCGGGGCCCCTCTTGTCTTCAAAAACAGCAGAAACCTGGACCAGCATTCACTTTTCCCTTTTTTTGACACACACAACCAAGGAGAGATTCCTAACGAAAAGAAAAGGGGAGTGTGGCTCCCAACTAAGCAGACGCGGCCAATTCAACTGACCGTAGCACACCCCGGCATAACGGCGAAATAAGAACTAGGGTTTGGAGGAATTTTAGCTTGTCATTGAAGGAGTAAACTCTCAAACGGGGTCCTCATTTTCATTTCAGCTGAACTACAAACTCTGCCGATTTGTTCCCAGACGTGATGTGCTCCTTCTGCGCGCTGGCGTGTCTTGTTCCTCAGCCACACACAGCCTACATGCAGCGGCAGGGCCTCGCCACGTGTGGCAAAGATATACACGTGAATGTATCTCTATGTAGAGTTGGTACCGAGTTGGTAGGTTGCAGTCCTGAAGACCGTTTACTAGGTTCGCAGTAGCCGGCCAATCCGGATGGAGGGGGCAGATATCAACGAACAGGATATTTTGCTGACGGTGAAATTATTGTCTAGGTAACCTGGGCTCCCAACCGCTCTGGTCAGCCAGAGCCGATAAATTCATTTGCTTATCGTATTTCGGCAGATAATCCTCGGTGATACCTCCAGGAGGGTGTAAATATGTCGTCCTCTGGGTCGTTCGTGGTCGTTCACTGCCAAGGATTAACCCGTGGTGATCTGGTTCAGAGCAAAGCTCCCGTATCAACATATATAGTCTATTATTAAAATGACATAGCATTCTAGTTCATGGCTTTACCGATTGTTGTCCCTTCTCTGCCAGCTTCAAAGTGTAACCCCTGAGTTTGTCTCAATAAACGGTAGCGCTGATTGCACCCGCTCAACTCAGTAAAAGACTCTGGAGGCATTACGAAAGCTGTGCCAAGAAACACTAACACCTTCATACTAATAACACGATCTTGTACAAAGACAGAGTTGTCTCGAGGCAGACCTGCAGATACGGTTGCAACCCTTTTCAACTTTATTATTTCACCGCAAGTGTAATGGAATATCACCGTGATCCTAATGATCACATTCCTTGTAATTTAGTGGGAGTGGCTTGAAGAGTTCAAGCAGCACCAGTTCCTTCGTTCTTTTTATTCACCCTCCAAGTATGGAACCTTATTAACTGCAAGAGAAACCGGTGCGCCCGTCGGCAGATCCCCGCTGTTGTCAGAATGCCGAATCCGTCGGTTGCCGTATGTCATAAACTTCTTTTTAGTGCGGGGCTAGCATAGACGGCCTCAATATCCATAGGCCTGAACGTCGAAACTATCTTTCTTCCTTCTCAGCAGAACCGGTGAACTCGTAATGCTTTCTTTCAGTGATGCACGGATACTTCGTCACTTGGGAGGTTTGCACACCTTCAGTACTTCGTTTCCTCTCCACCGCGAAGCGGGCTACAGGTTCACTTCACCACAAACGATATACAATATCGAAATCTGCCGTTGGTCTTCTGTTAACAACAAACTGTAAATTCTAGATGGAGTGCTGTACTGAAAGTTCCCTTTTTGTGCATTTTGTCACTCTTCCATATTTTCTCGAAGGAACTCTTCCGGGACTTTTCAGGTGAACCCATTAGCCCCGAACCTCGTTTTGCCATAACTGTTTCCGCCGCCAATACACTGACTGCTGGGTACATTGCGGAAATTCTGTTCTTCCAGTGCGAAAAGAAACCCAACCGTGTGTCCGCTTCCCGCTGAATAACATGTCCAGGCTAGCCTACACTGTTACGGGGAACAGCCGAAAAAATGACAGTCTAAGCTAATCGAAATATATGCGAAATTCTAGCTAGCAGACTGCTTTGGCCTCCAACAGAGTAGACAGAATTAAAGACCTGAGAAACATTGTTATGTAACGCCAGTTCTCAATCTCATCAACGGAACACTCTGAACTCGGATGGAACAAAACTGCCCTAGAGAAGGGGTCCGTACAAGCATCTGGCTTTCATCCTCAAGCTCTGGCGGTCCTGAGAGCAGCGGCACAAACGCCGGGAGTTTCAGGGTATGAAGCAGCCTGCTACTATTTGCAACTCACCTTGGTGTAGCTCGAAGCGCAAGATAGCCCAGCATGAAAAAAGAAGCAGTTTTGGTTGTATGTACCAACACTGTGTGCAATGTTCTTAGGTTTATGCATTGCGCCAATTGCCTACTAGGGCTGTTTGAGGGTTCCTGTGCCAACTTCATAACGCCTTGCCAGAAACAGAGTGTGTGACACAATCTCGAGTAGCCTGCAGAGCCAGTGCACCTAGTAGCAGGAACCACGGGACATGGGCTAATGCGGTTATGTGACGGGTTATCGTGAGTTGCAGCACACTGCGGTGCGGCTTTTGTTGTAAGACAACAGCACATGCAAACTACAATAGCCGTTGTTTGGCTCATGACACTTAACACGTTGGCCAGTCGTTAAACAATTAATAACCCCTCAGCAGCCACCCTTCGCTCAAGTATAAATACACTAGCCAACTTCAGCCAGAGCGAGGTTCAGTCTCAGAATCAGTCAACCGCCCCCTGTCCTAAAGTGCGCGTGCAGGGGCAGCACTAGAAGCTGCCCCCTCTCCGTTGGGTGCCTACTGCATTAATAACACATCCTCTAGCTGGATCGTCGTTTAAAACCACGATAGCCTTTCATTTAGTGAACCGGGACTTTACGAGAAGAATGAAACTAGAGCTCATGCAATGAACGCAGGCTCGTCAAGCCCCAGACAGAGTGCCACCGGTGCCTTATCTTTGTGCTGTTCCCAAACCCGTTGTTGGCAGGTGCTTCAGAAACTATTTCATTTACCCCTTCGCATATTTTTCTTTTGTTATTTTTGATAGTTTCTCTCTGTTCTTGGCTTGGTGTCATCGCGCCCGGCATCCATATGGTGCCGCCCCACGGCCAGTACCAAGCCAACCCCCTTCTCAGTGTCCCCCTTAAACAGTAGGCAAAGGCCTCTATCAGCCAATTAATATTTGAATTAGGGGGTTATATGCAAATAAATTCAACCTAAGCTGCTCCACAGACGCATATCACGCCGCCAGGTGGCCGTTCGTCTGTCTGTCGACGCTAGCGGAACTGCTGCAGGTTCCGTCACAGGGGTTCGACGGCAACGGGTATGCCTTTGAGGGGAGTTAAGCATACAAAGTTTTGTTTATTTTATTGTTCGTCATTTAGTTCAATCGATTTCACCGGTAGAACCGGAATTAAAGATCAAGGATAAGCATCGCGGTGTTCTGAATAATCATGATCATGCAAAGGTAAAGAAGTATACATATTCGCATTCGTATCATCTTCTCATTCTTGTTGCGTACGGCTCAATCCAGCCGCCTCTAGCTGTCCTCCCTATACCCTTTCCCCTAGGCGGGCCCTTAAGAGGTGTGCGTATACCGGAGCAACAAGACCCATGCGCATCGTCCTACGATCGTTGCTCTTCATCCTGGCGCTGTGTTGCCACGACTGGCCTTGGGGAAAGCCCCCATGGGACCCCTTATCAGGGTATTGGGGGCCACAGGGGGTGCCCCCAAAGGGCCCACGCAGGGTTGCCCACACAGCGTCGTGGGGGGCCGAGGCGACTACCGGTTTCGATGGCCGTTTCCTTGGCCGCAAAATAGCGACCGAGGCTCTGCGCCAGACTGCAACGACGCGTCCTCCGGAAAGAAGTCCAATTAATGATGATGATTTCTTGGAGGACGAGGAGCCTCTAGAGATATGGGGGGATATCGATGACAGGAGGTGTGTCTTCATTTTGTTGTTTGACGCAGTTGTCCTCATGAGGACTGCTAGTTTCATTGAAGATGTTTAACGGATTCATGGTTGTTCTTAAATGTGTAGCGTATTTTCTATTTTGATATTGGATTTTATTGTGGTAATATTTTGTATTTCCCGTCTCCGCGCATGTATATAAACGAGGGTATTGTTACGCAGCGGACGGAATTGAAGGTGCCGTTTGGATGCCGTGCTTGATGAATGCATGCATATTAGTACTTGCCGTTCTGCTGGTACACGATCGTATGCTGCTGCTGCTACTTGTTTGTTTTGTTGGTGCAGTATGTTGCTACAGTTTGTCATATTGCTGGTGCAACCTGCATGATATGAATGCTTGAGCTGCTTGTTCCGCTGCAGCATATTCCTAATGTTGTTGCCGCTTGTTATTTTGCTACAGTATTATTTTGTCATGTGTTTGTCATTTTTCTGCTGCAGCATGATCCTGTCGACTACCCCATGCCCATGCGCTGCTGCGCTGCGTCAGGCATTTAACACTGCATTGCGTGTATTGGTAGATCGTGGAGTTAGAAATCAATTACTTTTAAAGTATAAATTGCCTCTCTCGTTTGCAGTGGAGCTGCAGGGAGCATATCCTTCGTGGCCCAAGTTCAGTGAGCTGTACGAACACGACCTGCTGCGGGAGGTGCTAGAGCGGCGGGTGTTGAGGGTGGCGACTATATCGCGAGGTGTAGCACAAGATCCTGCAATGACATCCTTTAATAGTAGCTTTCTTCGTGAAATAGTGGATGAAATCGATTCTCATTATTCAGAAACAGAAGGCGTTGCAGAGAACAGCAGCGGGGGAAACAGCAGCAGGAGAGGCTCCTTGCCTATTCAAATTGAATATGTCTATAAGGCATCTGCTGCTGTGGCGCTGCAAGCACTAGATGCAGGACAGGCACATATGACAGATATTAACATGGTGTTAAGTCAAAACCCCTTTAATGGAATAACCATGACTTCCCGTTACAGCAGATCGGATCAGGTCATGACACAGTCAACTGTCGTCATTGTAAGGAGTGACGCAAACATAGCAAGTCTGCGCGCTCTTAGGAATGCCATTTTCCTTTCTTATGATCAAGAAGGCCGCACTGTCGTTGTAGACAGCCATTGGAACCATCAAAGTCTTTCTCGTGTCCTGCCTCCCTATACTGTATACGAGTTGCTATCAGAAGGTGTGCCGGGCTCGCAGCTAGTAGATGTACTACTCGATGATGAAGCTCTTGCAGCAACAGCACAAGTCCCGCTTCCCTGGCTGCACTACGGACTCCGTCAGTTCGTGGGGGGTGCAACGTATGCCTTAGGTGCTCTCTTCTTGATGGATCGCCACGGCACCAAGTGCCCCACAGCAACCAGTGCGAAGTCTGGTGCTGCACCTGCTGCTGCTGCTGCTGCTGCTCCGCCGCATACAGACTCATTCACGATGGATAAACCTGGGGAAGACCCCGCACTCTCCTCTCTTCGTCGCGAACTTACCAAGAAGAGTGTTACATTTCAGAAATCGCGTTTCTATAGCGGCCGCCGCAGGCCGCCTATGTGGGACAGCAGTGGGCTTGCAGGAGAGGGCTCGTTAGGAACTTTTGATAACGAGGATTCTTATCCTGCAACACCGGGTCCATGGAGCACAGAGCCTTCTACTCCGGTTGGGGAAACGGAGTTGTTTGATAGTTTAAAGGTGGATTCTTTAGATCCGCTTGCATCAGGAAGGCGGTATCTAAGGACACGAGCTCTTCATGATTCATACAATGCCGCTCTTGTGCAGCTGGTACATACTTCGGTATTGGAGAATCTTATAGAAGACCTGCAGGAAATCAACATCGTGCCCTTCTTTGATTGCGGCGGCACAGTGCCAGGTTCCGTTTCCCGCAGCTTTCCACCTGCTAATCGTATACCCCCCGATGATGCACTCATGGATATTTTAAGAACGGGTATAGTTTTGGTGGGAATGCCTGTGGAGCCCAAGGCAGCACTAACAAGCCCGGAGGTTCTCTACGTTCACCGTGCAACAGTTGAGGTGGTGGCGGCTATAGGTGCGGAGTATCGCGTACAGCTGCAGGTGCGCTTCATACCTTTCCAGAGCACACAACATGTGCTGCGAGCATTGCATCGGGGTTTAATTCATCTCGCAGATGCCCGCGTTTTGTTTGATTACATTAGCCCACACGAACGGTTAGGTTTCCGTGTACGGCCAACGTGTGCGCTGGGAGCCGCGCGCCTGTGGATGATGACACAGAACAAAGAAGGACTTACTTCGTTAGAAGAACTTCACGAGACACTTGAAAAACTCCCTGATACAAGCGATAAGAGAGTCGCTGTATTAGAACAGTACCTGCGCACCACCGTCTTCAGCGTCCTCCCCCCAGGGGTCGTTGTTGTTGTCCTAGGGGTAGAGGAAGCAGCAGAGGCGCTGCTTTCCCGCTCTGTTTTTGCTGTATTCGGTATGGCGACGCAGCAGCGGCGGTTGCTTCGATCGTTTTTGAACTTAGAAAAGAAAATGATGGATAGGGAGGAGCGTCCATGGGAGAAGAAGACAGCAGACAGTGCCAGCAGCACGAGCCAGCAGCAGCAGCAGGAAGGCAAACAGGAATTATTGAAAGGGGAGTCGCCATCAAGCTCTCCTGGCAGCAGATCTCCTTCAGGTCCTTCTTCTCCTGAAGGCAGCAGCAGCCGTATGCATGCAGATCGTTACGAGCTTGCTAGTGATGAAGCCTCTGGGGGTTTCTCGTGGCCTGTTGTTGCACCTTCGTTACAATACACAAAAGATATATTTCAAGAGCTCATGAAGGCAGAAGGACTCCCCGTAGAAACAACTGAAGCTCCTCAACAAACAACTTCCTCGTGGATAGATGTAGATACCGGTGTTACTGCAGTCGTTCATTCTTTCTTAGCAGCCTCCCTGCGCCCCCAGCGTCCAGCCCAGTAATCAACAAGAGGTTTGGGGTTTAGGGTATAGGGTCTGGGGGTCTTTGTGGGGTCTAACATTTATGGGGAGCTGGATGTTTTTTACATCCTCATGAAGTTAGCAGGATCCACAGCACTTCTTCCCGCGCCCTGGGTAACTGAGGTACAGCTAGCTGAGCAGCTAGCTATGTCTGCAGGGTACAACAGCTGAGGTACGGCTAGTTCAGCTAGCTGCGTCTGGAGGCTCCAACAGCTGAGGTACAGCTAGCTGGTGAGCAAGCTAGCTTGTGATGGAGGCTTCAACGGATGAGGTACAGCTAGCTGCTGAGCTAGCTGGCTAATGGTGGGGGCTGCAACAGCCGAGGTACAGCTAGCCAGTGAGCTAGCTACATCTGGAGGCTGCAACAGCTGAGGTGCGGCTAGCAGAGCTAGCTAGCTGTACCTGGAGATACCGACTGCTGAGGTACAGCTAGCTGCTCAGCTAGCTATCTCTACAGGCACCAATACGCCTTAGTTGCATGCGCACTACAGCGCCTGTCACAACAATTGCTGAAGCCAAAGCAAAGCACTAATAACAACTATGGCGGCTGTCCGCTTCAACAGCATCGCCACCCACAAGTATTGATTCATGGATACATATATATACATGTATATATTTATATACATCTATGTATATTTATATTATATATATTTATGTTATATTTATATATCTATATTTATATATCTATACATATATCTATATTTATATCCATATTTATATCCATATATATCTATATCGATATTTATATATATCCATATATTTATATTAATATTTATATATATATTTATTTGTATACATGTAAAGCATATATGTTGTGAGCTCGTTCATCTTCTTGATCATCGGACGTCCTACCTCTATATCGTGTTACTACATTTTTGGGCTTTGCCGAAGTCGCGCCCAGCGGGCGTGACTTAAGCGCCTTGAAAGGGCGACAAGTCTGCTGCTCTGCTGCTGCTGCTGCAGTGCTCGCAGGGACCGATCTGCCTGCGGGTGGGGCTGCAGCAGCTTGCATGCGCTGCCTCTGGAGCCGCACGACGTATTTAAACAACTCTGCAGTATACTCCTGCTGATAGAAGAAGACGAGCACAAGTTTATAACTGAATGATATACATGCATGCACACACCAGCACGGACAAGCTGCCTGCCATAAGACGGGAGGAGTTAGGAGGAGTAACGTACTGATCTTGCTGTGGTTATTATCGGACACCAACTAAGCAGCTGCCGTTTGTATAGGACGAGAAGTTTTGCTGAAGTGTCGGTTTATACCATTGATTGTGTGTACAGTCACTGTCTTATAAAAGCGCTGCTTTGCAGGCTAGGGCTGCTCTTAACCTACTCCAGATGATTAACTAGTAAGCAAGCGCTGCTTGCTCTTTAGGAGTAGCCTCCGGCTATCACTGTCTGTTTTAGGGGAAACACTCACATGGATCCTGGTGGTGCTGCGCGTACTGATAGAACTGCTGCTGCTGCTGTTGCTTCAATATAGGGGATCTACGGCGATACAAACATGCTAGAAGTAGTAGAGCATTGAGATGCTGCTTCCTGTCACACGCTTTTGTGGTATTGCCTCGCTGCTCGTGCACAGCAGCGGCTTTGAGGACGTCACAAGAAAACAAAAGAGGGGGCGCCCCACAGGAGGCGCGCGTGTTCACTCCCTGCTGGCGCATGCACAAGGGGCATATGTTCCAGGCCTGGGAGCAGCTGAGGGCGCAGACTGGGCAGCTGTTCCAGTTGCTGCAAGTGCTGCAACTGCTCTAGTTGGTGCAGCTGCTGTAACTGGTGCATTGGGGGTGTTGTCACGGGGAGGGCAGTAGCATCAGCTAGCCGACGGCGCGTAGGTTCAGGCTCACTGCTGCTGCTTTCTGGCCCCATAGGGGGAGTTTCAAGCAGCTGACTACTGTCTTCTGCTGCTTCACCAGGAGCAGCAGGAGAAGTAGGAGCAGCAGGAGAAGCTGTTCCTGTGTCCGCGCCATGCAATGCCTCACCCAGTATTGCATGCGGGGATGGGGCTGTTTCCTGCTCCCTCCACAACTCCCACTCCGCCAGCCGCAACCCGGTCAGCCCATCTTCAAATAGAACTGTTGCTGAGGTCGAGCAAGAACAGCAACAGCAACAACAGCAGCAGCAGCAATGCAGGTTGAAAGCGAAAACTTGACAGACTAGCAAGCGGGCAGGTGCCTCCCTTGCATGGGCGGGTACTGCTGCTGAGGTGCATGTTCATGTCGGTACAGCCGCATGATATTCAAGCATTAATAACGGGCAGTGCATTCAATATTCTGCAAGAGCTGCCTAAACACCGCAGGTACTCACTAGCCGTCACGACGAGCCGTCGATTGGCAGACAGAAAGAGAGTGGCGCTGCTGCGGGCTCTGCTGGCTTCCCACCCCACCACGTCGTGGCGATACCGGACAGAGAAACCGCCAGAGTCGAATGCCTGGACAACAGAAGCAGCAGCCACAAAGAAAAATAATAGCACATGTTCATCGATTTGAATTCTGTCTGAAATGCAAAAACTCCCTTTTTCATGCTATGTGCTGCGTCTTCCTCCCCCAGAAGCAGCACCAGCAGCACCAGCAACAGCAAAATCAGCAGCAGCAGCAGTTCGCCTGTAAGTGACGATCCGACAGTTATCAACACCGAACGAGGATTGGAGAGGGCCTCTTCCAGCGTTGTCGCGGGTCCAGCAGGAATTATGCGAATGTTGCGCGTTAACGCTAATCACAGATAATCATAGAACAAACCGTAAACGCTAGACCGTAAACCCCAGGTTAGATACTCTGACTTGCAGCTGTTGGGTGAACAGCACCGGCTAGGTGGAAACAACCCCGCGCATCTGCTGCAGTTTCATTAACATCTGAAATTGTTTGCATAAATACACTTAGGCCGGTAAGCCGACAAACGCCACTTCTTAGGTTCAGCGTATCCGCTTACCAAAGCTGGCAGGTATTGCCGCAGTGCTGGCCGGTGCGTTGGCGCCAATGAGGAACATAAGAGCGGCTGCATGCTCAGCAAAAGAGACCCAGTGAGGAACATACGAGCAGTTTCATGCTCAGCAGCGTTTTGCATTTAGCGGTTATGGTTTAGGTTTTAGGGTTAAAGTTAAGGGGTTTAAGGTTTAGGGGTTTGGGTGAGGATGGTGAAGGCGCACTAGAGCACAAGAAGGTCGTAAGCAGGTTGGCGAGGACCACTGCACAGCCGTAGCCGCGAACGAGGTGCAGCAGCCTGTCCTCTTTATCTGCTGCTAGTGCCACTGCGGCAGCAGTGCGGGACTCAGGAGGATAGCGGAAGATGTCACTGGTTACTGGGCTGTCGCACATGTTGCGCGTTCCCGCGTTTGCATGCGCGACGTAGAAGCGGAGTGACTGTAGCAGCAGCACACACGCAGGCGAAATCACTCAGTCACGCCACAAACATCTTTAGCTGCATTTACACACAAACATAAACCTGCAGGACCCGCTAACAGCAATGTTAGGCCGGCGCTCTGTGTGTTGCTGCTCTTGTGTCCTGCGTGCATGCATGCAGAGGATAGATGATTCATCCCAGAGACTATCCTCACCTGAGCTAAACCTGATTCCTCAGGGTGTTGCAGATCTGAGGCCTCTGGCGCGCCCCACTGAGGAGCCCCATCTCTGGCCTTTGTATGAGGTGTTTCTGCGTGCATGCTGCGAACACTTGGGCGAGTTGCGGTAGGCCTGCAGCGAATTAAAGCAATTGAAGTACATGGGCATAGCTTTTTCCTTACTATTCTCTCTTTCACCAAGTGGCGCCTTTGTCTGTTTCGCTGAAACAAGTACTCACATGCATACTCTGTCCGTCTGACCGGCGCTGAAGACGCGCTGAAATACGGAGAGAAAGTGAGGCTAAGAAGCTGTAAGGCCAGAATGTTATAAGGAAGATAGCAAAATAAATAGGTATTCAATGAATATATTTCAAAGGAAAACAGGGAGTGCAAGGGTCACTGCAGCCACTGCTCGTGAACCACTGGGTCACCTACCACCGTCTTCCAACAACGACAGCTCAGCGCAATCCGCTTGCCGTTCCCTCGATAAACTCTAATTAAATTACGAAAAAGGCAGTTAATGCGTCAAGATTAACATACATCAACATCTAATGGCAGAGAATGCTCGCGCCCTTCTAGTTGCTCACAGCGGACATGCAAGTACACGAGGACAGGCAGGCCAGACGTTCAGACAGAACGAACTTCTCAGCCTACTAAACACTTCAAAGAGTGAAGTAAAGATTTATTAAACGTTTTTATTGCAAGATTAATACTTGAATGGAAAGAAAAATGGCCCATTTCAGGCAAACGTCTTTGTCTTTCCAGAATACAGTGCCAGTGCGCTAACAATAATCAAAGTTTGCGTATAAACTTTCTTTGAACTGTGCTATTCGTTAGCAAAATCATATAAAATGAAGTCCCTGTTTCCATACATTACTCTGTGGGCGGCGAGGAATTCCCAAGGGTCAGCATTCGCCTATCCCGCGATGGATATTCATCTTCGCCGGATAGCGAGTGTGCAAATGCATTAAAATTATTAGTATAAGCTCGACATCGTACTTGGGTATAAGCTTCTAGGTTTATGCCTACGCATATTCTTACAGATGTATGGTGCAAAAAGAAGTTCTCATTACTTTTTTTTTGATCCTTTTACTACAAAAAAGAGGAGGAAACGACAAAAAGTCTAATATTGCTGGTAGCAAACCGGGGAAGCCACGGCAGCAGCACAGCAACTTATAAATTCATCGGCTGTGTCTGCAGCAGAAACAGACGATAAATAAATAAATAGAGAAATGAGCACAAAAGCAAAGTGGTTAAGAATTGTCTATTTAGAGGTATGTAGCCAAGTAAAGAAACCCTAGAGAAGGCCTGAGAGGTCCAGCAGCTGCACCTGCTGCTATCTAGTATTGAGTATTTCTAGATAAAGTTAAGAAACTCCAATTAGCAACTCCTTCAGCAACTGCATTTCCTTCTTGTCTGTCTCAGGAGGAGAAGGCCTTGCATAGAAAAGCTCCAGCTGCAGCAACACAACATAGGCTGTTGCAGCAACATCCGTCAACAGCACGTACTAAAGCAGCTGCTGTCGCTGCTGCACAGCGTAGCAGAGCGGATACTGCTATGCTGTTTGAGCTGCATCCGATCTTGCAATCACCCCGTTCGGTTTCCGCTGCAGAACACTCCCGCCCCTGTAGCAGCAGCATCAGCTGCAGCTGCTGGTTTAGCCCGCAGGGATGTGTTGCCTTGTAATTGCAAGGTGTACGTAGAATGCAAGCTAGGGCGGTAATTGTTGGCTAGACTGACGTACCAGGTAGAGTCTGTCTTCATGTGTAAGTTTCTTGAAGACACCGCTAACCTCACGATAAGGAAAGGAAAAAGTGCTGCTGTGCTGCTGCAGCAAAACCCTAAAAAGCAGCAATCCATCGATAACTCTGTCTAATGCTGCAACTGCTGCTGGCATATCCTCCGCCTGCACGAGGGCTACAACGTCACTTGATGCTTGTATCAGCCTGCAGCACATACACAGCAGCAACAGCAGCAGCAACAGCACACAATCAAACTCCTGCCGCTCCTGATCCTCGTGCTGATTGCTGCTGCTGTCAACAGCATATATTGAATCTACAAGGAAAGTTATAGGATTTATGCTTACCTTTTTTCGATTTGTTCTTTCATACTTTTTGCTGCAGCAAAGAAAGACAAATTAAAGATACTTCTTCGCGTTGATATTTCTTCTGCTGCAGCTGCATATACACTGCGACGACCTTTTAAGCTGCTGCTCTCCTTTGCCGCCTGAAGGGCCCGCGATACGACTCCCCCAACTTCATGTCTGCCCAGCCGCAGCGGCAGCAACAACAGCAGCAGCAATAGCAACAACAGGAATTCTGCTGCACCTGTAACGTGTGAAAGGGAGCTCCTGCAGTATGATGCTGGTGCTGGTAATGCTGCTGCTGTTGCTGCCGTTGCTGCGGCTGCTGCTGCTATGGGTGAAGCTTACTGAAACAACTCTGCTAGCTGCTGCGTCTCTGCTTGCATGGATCGTCTCCAGTCTTTGACACCGAGAGCAGCAGCAGCAGCAGCAAGGCCCCTGCTAGGCGCCCAAGCTGGAAGCTTCGGGTTCTCCCCGTCACCGGTGCCGCTAAGCTTCTCAGCTTCTGCTGCTCGTGCCTCCCGCATGCGGGCTTCATGCAGCACTGCCTTGTATAGCAGCTGCAGAGCCGCCTGTACATAAAGCAACAGTAACACCGGCAGCAGCAGCAGTTTCAGTAGTAGCAGCAGTAGCAGCAGTATCAGTGGCAGCAGCAGTAGCAGCTGCAGCAAAGATGACTGGACAGGTGATGGAGAGAAACGAGGTAAAGAATGTGAGAAGGAAGAATGTGGGGGCCACCCAGGGCCCCCACTATTCTTCAGCGGCCCCCTTACGCGTTTTAGAAAATCTTCTGCCTCTTGTGTCTTTAGTCCGTGGGCTTCCCCTATCTGCCATATGCGCCTGCGAGCTGTCTCTAACAGCAGGCCCACAGGCGTCTCCTTTTGTAAAGAAAGGGGACTATCGCCTAACCCTACTAATGGGGCTAAGGCAGCAGCAATGACGCGGGCCTCTTCCATACATACAATCTGCAGAGGTAACAAAAAAACAAGGGTTTAGGGTCTAGGGTTTGGGAATGCCAACACACAAACGATCAAGAGACAGACAGCAACCAACAGCAATAGGCTAATAATCTAGGAAACAACTACACGCGTGCATGCGTGCAACTGTATGCATGCAAACTGCATGAATGCATGCAATTTCAGCAGCAAAAGTCCCTCTAAACATACATCTAAAAGGCGGTTGCCTGCAGCCTTAGCTGTCTCTGTCATGGGAGTGGAGAGAGCCTGCTGCAGTTGTATCTCCTCGGCTGACGGGGAATTCTCGTCTTCGTCTTGTATAAGGCCTCCTGATGCAGCAGCTGCAGCGCGTTCTGCTGCTGCAGAAGCAGCAGCAGAGACCAGCAGCTGCTGCACCACGTATAGGCCAGCTGCCAATGCTGCTTGATGCATAGGCGTCTCTAGTAAACCACTTGCTGCTGAGCTATTTAAACTCGCAATCAAACCTTCCTCTAGAGCAGCTTGAAGAGCAGCAACAGGAAAAGTTGCCTCTCTGTGCACAAACACTAAACCCTAAACCCTAAACCCTAAAGCCTATACACAAGAGTGACTTCACCGCGTGCGCACTGGCCTGCCACAAATGGCACCGCAATGCACGCTAAAGCTTAAGCCCTAAATACTCAGCCCTAAAGTCTAAACCCTCAACAGCTGTGCCGCTGACCTGGAGAAGGCGTTGACAAAGATCTTGACGGGCTCGCTTTGTGGCAGATCTTTCAGCATGGAGAGGACAGTATGGCCTGTTGCTGTACTTAATGGGGACTGTTTGCTGCTGTTGCTGCTGCGGCTACCAGGCCCTCGTGTCGCTTTAAAGGCAGGACGCATAAGCCGATGCTGCTCAACAAATCGAGAAAGAGAAAGAATGGAAGTCAGCAACTGCACCGAAGGGTTTTGCTCCTTTAGCGAGCTACCAGCAGTAGAAGCTGCAGAAACAGCAGGCGCTGCAGCTTCGCCTGAAGCATCCTGCTGCTGTGGGAGTTGTAGGGCCCCTACGAGGGAGAGGGGGCTATTGGGGTTCCCCCCTGTGCCCTTAGCAGGGGCCTCCTGCTTCCTTTCAGCGGGTAAGGCAGCCAACCCCTCATGCAACTGCTGCAGCCCCGCTCGCTGCTCTTTGCACGCGCGTTGCATGCGCATCCAAGGGGGCTCATTGGGGCTTTCCGCTGAGGAGCCCATGGCCTCCTGCGCAGCTGTCTCTTCCTTAACAACGGCTTGCATGGACTCGGGCAGGCGAGCAGCAGAAGCAGCAAACCTACTAGTGCTGCTCATGCTTCTGCTGCTGATGCTGTTTGCTGCTGCCTTCAGCACACGAGGCAACAGCACCTCAACGGCATGTGTTGCTTTCGCCTCCTTCACGATCCCTTCTGCCCCTGCCTGCAGAGACACATGACAGCGCATGCAGTGTATAGGCACCTTTGCTGTTGCTGCAATCTGCTGCAGGCAGCAGCAGCAGCAGCAGCAGCAGTCCCCGCTTGCTGCTCCACCCATATTAAGCTAACCTCGGGGAGATCAACATTTCCTGCTGCTTCTTTTACAAGTGCTGCTGCATGCGACGTCCATCCGCCTTCAGGGTCAATTGATTCACGTGCCACCCGCAGCAACCACTCCTACAGCAACAGAAGCAGCCCTAAAATCGAGTGCATGCTTGCATGCACAGCACCCCCGCCCGGGACAGCTCGGGGTGCAGAGGTAAGGGAGGAAGCAGCAGCACCAACAGCGGCAGCAGCCACTTGCGTGCATGGGTTAAAGGAGGATGGTTAAAGTTGACCAGCAAAGGACTAACTCTATAGGCATCTGCATGCAACGCAGCAACATCTGCTGCTGTAAGGCCGAGTGCAGCACGCCAAGCCCTAAGCCGCTGCCTGCGTGCTGCTGCTGCTACTGCTGTCTCTGGTGCTGCAGCATTTGTCTCCTCCTCAAACACCTGTTTGTACACCTCAACTGCAGCAGCAACCGCCTTGCTTGCATCCGCAAGCCCCAAACTAGCAGCCGTCGGCAGCAGCACTTCGTCCCTGCAAACACAAGGCATGCCACCATCCCCCTCCCTCTGCTGTACTCCTAGCTAGCTAGTCAATTTCCTAGCGGGCTAGCTATCTAGCTGACTGGTCTCGAGGGGCTGCTCCAGCTGTTGCAGCTGCCCGGGGTGTGAGGTTGACCTGGTTTGGAGCGCAAGAGTGTCTGTTGCTGCTGCAGTGTCTAGCTGCTCCTTTTGCTGCAGTAGCTGCTGTAGCCTGTGCATAGCCCTGCGGTAGAAGGCGTAGAGAGGCTTTGCTTGCAGCCGCTGCTGCTGAGGCAGCCTCTTAACTTGATCAAATGTACAGGTAGCTGCTGCAGCACCGTCATGCAGAGCTTGCCGCAGCAGCAGCAACTTGATGGCCTCTTCTTGCCTGTGGGGTCCCACAACCAAACACAGGAAAATGTCTAGTGCTGCTGCTGCTGCCATCTCCTTGCGTGCTGCTGTCTCTAGCCGACACAAGAGGCAATAGCTCACTTGTTGTCTATGCGGGTGAGGTGCTTCCACCGCTCTACAGCAGCAGCGGCAGCAGCAGCTTCTGTTGCTGCGGCAGGGGACCTGCCCTTCTCCTGCTGTAGTTGCTGATGCCGCAGCAGCAGCAACTGCAGCACGTACTCGCTGGCCTTGGCGGACAGACTGCTCCGCTGAGAGGTGTCTCTCCATGTATCTGTTGCGGTGTCCGCTGCAGTTGCTGCACTAAGCAGGCGCTGCAACGGGGAGGCAGCACCAGCACTGTCGTCCTCTAGGGTGCCTAGACACCTTAAGCTGCTGCACCTCTCTCCTGATTCCTCCTCTGTCTCTGCTGCTGCTGTCTCCCTGCTCTCCCCCAGCAGAGCATGCAAGCGCAGATACAGCAGCATCAGCTGCTGAAGCTTTAAACTGTCTCCGTCATTATCTCCAGGAGGCATCGCTATCTTCACCAAACGCTCCAGATCCTGCAGCAGCAACACACATGGAACAGCAGAACAAGCAGCAGCGATGCATGCAGGAACAGCACAGGTAGCAGCAATGCATGCAGCAACAGTACAGACAGGAACAGGAAATACAACAGCAACACAAGCAGAAGCAGCACGGAGCCGCAACAAGAGCACAGGCATCAGCAGCAACAGCAGCATCACCATCCGCAACAACAGGAGTCTTACGTAGTCTAGCAGCAGCAGCTGATTTGCTGCTTGTATTGATTTATCTTCATTAAATATATCAGCAGCAAGGTCAAGAACGTAACAAAGGGAAGCAGCAGCAAAACGAAGACCTAACTGCAGCGCTGATATAAATTGCTGCTGCTTTAAGTCTAGCAGCTGCTGCATTTCTACTGCCTGAGAAACAAGATTCCCCCTTGTTGCTGCTGGTGCTGTTGGTGCTGCTGTTGCTGCTGTTGCACCCTCTTTTGTGCTAGGCAGGCCTTCTTGGCTTTTGCTGCTGTTGTCCCCTTCAGGGTTAGCCAGCAGCAGCCCCATCTTCGCATGCATTTGCATGCATGCATTCTCTTGAAAAGCAGCTTTAAAGAAAGCAGGAAGAAGTCTTTTTGCTGCTAGCATACCCATGGCAGCAGGTGTCTCTGCTGCAGCAGAAGGACCCACCAGTGCTGCTGCTGCAGCACGTGCTGCTTCTACAAGACTTCTCATACTTTCTAGGATGCGTGCGCTGTCTCCTTGCTGCGGCTCCTGCTGCTGCACGTAGCCCTGCTGCAAGGAGACAGACGGAGACAGCTGCTGCTGCTGCTGCTGAAACGAGACTGAGGCAGGCAGCCCCATCTCCGCAAGAGATATCAAACGCTGCTGCAGCAGCGGCAGTGCTGCTGCAGCAACTTCCTTCGTTGCTCTGCTCTCCATGCCCAATGCTGCTGCTGCTGCATTCAGTGCAGCAGCACCATCCCGCCACATCTTCTGCTGCAGCAGCTGCTGTACCTGCTGCTGCTGCTGTTCAGGGGGGAAGCGACAGAAGAGACGGGAGGCAAGAGAGGCAACAATGCGCCGCAGCAGCTGCTGCAGTCTCTCCTCAGCTAAATCAAGAGGGATCTAAAAAGGCGACAACAGCAGGAGACACGCGCAACAGCAACATCAGTTTGCTGATGCTGCTGCAGTTGCTTCTGCTGCTGTTGCTTCTGCTACTGCTGCTGCTCGTGCTGTGTCTGTACAAAGGGGAGGCAAGCACATTTCATGAGAAGAAAAAAAGGACACAAAAGACGAAACAAAAAAGAGACAAAAGGGAGACAAAAAGGAGACAAAAAGTAGACAAAAAGAGGATACAACTGGGGAGACAAAGAAAGAGACAGGCTAGGGGACACCTACAGAGAGAGCAGCAGCAACGCCGCTAACTGTACTTCTTCTGCTGCTGCTGGTGCTGCGCCCAGCAGCAGGAGGAGGAGGCGGAGAAAGTAGGTGTGCAAAGAGCAGCAAACGGTCAGCAAAGGCAGCAGGAGGCGGTAACTGAGGCAATCCTATAAGGCTGGAGGCTTCGAAGTGCCATTTCTGCTGCTGCTGCTGCTGCTGCTGCTGCTGCTGCTGCTGCTGTAGCTGCTGCTGTTGCTGTGCAAGGCACACATACTGCTGCACAATAGAACGCGCCCACTGCGCGCCACCGATGCGGAGAGGCCAGTAGTGTTGATAGTTGCCTCCATGCTGCTGCTGCTTTTGCTGCTGCAGCAGCAGCAACTTCAGCTGCAGCAAACGGCTATAGAGTGCCTCGTCTTGCCCGTCCCAGTCAATCGATGCACTCCAGCTGCTGCTGCTGCTGCTGCCGTTATTGCTGCAGCTGTTGTTTATGCTGCTGCTGCTGCTGTTGGTTGTGGGCTGCGAAGGCAAAAGAAACGCTGCTGCAGCTGTTCCCACAGACAGGAGGTTTGCTAAGGTTGCCTGATCTTGAGGCTGCAGCAGCAGCATCTCCTGCTGCCCGTGCTGCTGTTGCTGCTGCTGCTGCAGCCATGACGGCGCGGGCTTCTGCAGCAGCATGTTAAAGAGGGCGGACCCTGTGGGGCCCTCTTCGTCGGGGGCCCCTCTGGGGCCCCAAACAGCAGAGGGGCCATCGGTGGTGTCTCCTCCCTAAAGAACAAACACTCAAGAACAGCAGCAGCAGCAATAGCAACAGCAGCAACAGGAGCAGTAGCAGCAGTAGCAACAACAGCAACAGCAGCAAACAGCAGGAGCAACGGGAGATAGCAAAAGACAAGAAAGGAGACAAAGAAGAGCAGCAGCAGCAGATCCTACACCTACAGATAACGGGGGGGATCGTCGCCTCCAGCACCAGCTCAGAGGACGCAAAATAGCAGCACAAGCAGCAGCAGCAGCATCTGCTGCTGCTGCTGCTGCACCAAGAATCCCCTGACGTGACCGACGCTTAGGAGAGACACCTACAAACATCAAAGACAGACCGATGGCGCAACAGCTCTGCTGCAATAGCAGCAGCAACAGCAGCAGCCGCAGCAGCAATGGCAACATCAGCCAACCAACAGCAAAAACAGCAAACCAGCAGCAGAGGCAAGAAGACAGCAGCAGCAAAACAGCAGCAATAACAATAAAAGGGCAGCAGGGCCAGCAAAACAGCAGCAGTAGCAGCAGCAGAGACAGTAGGTATGCATCCTCACCATATACGTTTCTCCCTCCCTCCGGTGGGGCCCCATGGGGGCCCCCGCGATAGGTATTAACATGTCTCTCTGCTGCTACTGCTAAAGCAGAAGAAAGACTGTCACTGCAGCAGCTGCTGCATTGCTGCTGCTGCTGCTGTTGCTGCTGTTGTTGCTGTTGAGTAGAGCGCAGCACCTGCAAAAGCTCTGTAAACAGGTGAACAGCAGCAGAAGCAGCAACAGCAGCATAAGCAGCAACAGCAGCAGGCAGCACAGCAGCAGGCAGCAGAGCAGCAACCCTTTAATAACAAAAAAAAGGAGACACATATACACCTAATGACAATAAGAGACACTACTCCTTACCCCCTTGCTGCAGCAAACTCCTCATCATTGCTGTTGTCTCCTTTTCTTCTTGCTGCTGCACTGCAGCAGGGACATCTTGCAACGCAGCAGCAGCATTCAGCCACTGCTGCAGGTCCTTAGGGGCCCCCTCAGAGGCCTCCTCAGGGGCTCCCCACACGGGCGCCTCAGGGCCCCCCCAGGGGGGCCCCTCAGAGGAACCCTCAAAGGGGCCCTCAGAGGGCCCCCAATGGGGGGGCCCCTCAGATAAACCTTCAGGAGGCCCCCATTGGGGGCCCCCCCGCAGTCGGCTAACGGGGATACTTGAAAGAGAAGAAATCTCCCTCAGCTGCATAGAAAAAAAAAGGGTTTAGGGTTTAGGGTTTAGGGGAGTGCATGCGGAGACAGCTACAGAGGAACGAGACACAAACCCTTTTTAGGGTTTAGGGTTTAGACACACAGAGAGAGCGGCAGCAGCAGCACTAACAGCAACAACAAAAACAAAAGCAACAACATCAACAACAACAGCAGCAACAGCAGCAGCAGCTGCTGCAGCAGCAGCAACGTACAAGTGTATCCTCATCGTGGGTGTGGGGTAGCGCCTTAATGAGGCCCCCAACGAGATTACTTAAGGATTCTCCTTTTTCATCTTCTTGCTGCTGCTGCTGCTGCTGCTGCTGCTGCTGCTGCTGCTGCTCTTGCTGCACCCCAAACAAAACAGGCCAATCAGGATCGTCCTGCGCGTCTCTAAGAGCAGCAGAAAAATCTGCGTCTGCTGCTGCTGCTGCAGCTTGCTGCTGTTGCTGCTGCACACGCTCTCCTTCTGTTGCTGCTACATAAGGCTGCCCCAATAAGTCAAACCAACTGCTGCTGCTGCTGCTGCTGCTATTGCTGCTGTTGCTGCTGCTGCTGCTCTCCTTGCGCCGCTTTCGGCT